AAATGCTGCGGCTGCAAGTCATTGTGGGGCAGCATTTTCTCCTCTCCTTTCGGTAAGGGAGGTCCAGTGGTTCCTAAGCTAAAGGAGGTTATAAAGGAAGTTTGAAACCTCCTTTCCTTTCATTTGGAGAATTGGAACAGCACTTAACATGGCTGCCATTGAGGGACTTCCGGGTCATTTCACTCCGTTAGGAAGGTTCCTAAGCTAAATGGACTATTGGACTTCAGCCCAGGTGTCGCTCAAAGTGCTTCATCACAAATGAAAACAGAAAACAAGAAATGTTGTTACTATAAATAAATAATAAAGATTAAAGGACCAAAGGGGATTTTGCTAATGAAAAGCTAATCCAAAAAGAAGTGGTTTAAAAATGTCCACTGTTACATATACTGTAAGAGAACAAAGAGAGCTTACAAAGTCCTGGCGGATATCGTTGAAGTCTTTGCCGTATTTCTCAAGAGCCTCCTCGAACAGCATGGCCTCGGAGGCGCTCCACTCCTCCATCTCGTCGCGGCACAGCACCGGCCCCCCCTGAGGGACCAGCGTGGACATGGCTTTGGCCAGGTCGTAGCTGTTCTTCTGCAGCGTGTCCATGGCGTGGAACTGAGGGCGGAGAGACAGGGGTGGAGCATTAGAGAGGTATCACCACAGACATCAGGCTTCATGGTATTTGACCACGAGAAGCATTTCATGCCATTGCACCCAAGACTAGTTTTCTAGGAAGGTAATAAACAATTGAACCTATATCCCTCTATTTTAGGAATTATGAACTTTTAGCTGAAAAATTGTGCCGATAAAGAAGCACCAGCAATAAACATTTCATATTGTAGGCTACAGGATGTAAGGAGTTGGAAATTGAAAAGTGTTTTCTTGTATCACCTGTATTTCTCGCTGAAGACTGAAGTTATAAAAAACAATAGTTATAACATAGTATATTTAATTTTGTTGTGCTGCAAAGCCCTCTGCACAAGAGTAGCTAATAATTCAGGATGTGACTTTTTGATATTGTACTTCCAATACAATTGTACAAATAAGAAAATGCTATGTAGCATATTAAGTACGAGTGTAGGGCTTTTGAAATGCTGGTTGGTATTGGAACCTTGCTATGAACATTAACACAGTAAAAGCAACACCACTGTTGGGTACTGACAAGAAATTATACAACATTCCTGCAATCTGAATTCCTTCATTCTAATATCAAATGTAAAATCTTCACAAACAGTAAACAAAAACATATTAATGACTCATGTTGGCCGAATGGATCATAGTGGAGTGAGTGTCCTCACCAGTGTGATGTCTCTGGAGGCTGCCGCGGCACTCATGTGGAGGCTGGGCTGCCGGATGGAGCTGCTGCAGTCCAGGGCCCGAGCAAAGGTCCCCACAGCTCTGAAAATAAATCATACCGATTAATAAGGTTTGCTGATTCATCTAATTTTATTTTATTATTTTCAAATGTCCTACAAATATGAAAACAAGATTATGGAGATGACACAATTATTGTACCACATTCCATTTCCCAATGACGCCAGAGTCCCCCCTGTTATTGTACAGTTGGCTTGAATGTTACAACATTACGACAAAAAGCAGGAGTAGTAGTAGTTCATGTGTGTACAAGATGTAAGCAATCGTGTTATCAATCGAGCACACCTAGCCTTTCCTTTACTTCCGTTATCACTCAATTACTTGCCGGATTTCGTTGAATATAATTCGACCAAATTATGAATTTATGTGTTGGGATTTTCAGCAGGTTGTGCCAGTGCACTACAACATACTTGTAATCTATTTTATTTATTATGTTAACATTATTCATTTCCATTTGAATATGTATAATTTATATATTATTCTATTTATTTAGATGTATTTAATAAATGTTTTCCCTAGTTGAAGTTTAAATAAAATTCAAGAAAGTCCACTGTGAAATTGGCAATTCAAATAAATAAGTAAATGAATGTGGGCTCTGTGAGTTATCGTGTAAAACACTGCTGACCTTAATAATGAACCATTAAATCATAATTAGGATGTTTGCCATAGCCAAACACTCTTTCTGTTCACTAACACTGATGTGTGTGTTATACATCTCTGATAGGGAAATATTAGTGCTGTTCATAAGGAGATGAGTATGCTGCTGAATGTTCCATTAATGAACACTAGAGGGAGTGTTTGGCTCATGAGCAGATGTATGGGCAGCAGGAGGATTCCCTCCAAAACCAAACTAACTAAAGTCTTCCTTTAAACAAAAGAAATCTGTGCTGCACCTCTAAAGACTAGTGTAGTACTATCAGTGCACTCTAATAGTGTCAATTAATATCTGTTTACAAATGGTGCATAACCCCTGAATTTAATTAATCAGTGATATGATTCTGCCCTCAGTCAATACACTTTAACTATCCTATCTTAAGATCTGCAAACAATATTCTTATTTCCCTAGGAGATTATCAAACTTTTTGCCAATTCACACATCCCTCTACAAAATCTGTTCTGTGGATGGTAGAGTCAGACGTCGGCATGGCAACAGTGTTGAGTGATGAAGATGCAACTGAGTGACAGATGGATGGGGAGTGTTACCTCGCCACCACCAGGAACTGGTCGATCTGGGGGTCTTTGAGCTGGTTGTTGGTGTCCCACACCTTGGTCTCCAGCTTCTCCTGGATGCGGGTGTCTGCTTCCCCTGAGACCAGTGGGAACTTTGTTTTAGTTTCAGGTGGAATCAGGTCATGTAGCGACTGAACATATTTCCTCCCAGGTGTCCCTAACTTTAGTTGCTGCTCACCCTCTGCCAGCTTGTCGGGGATCTCTGCCTGGTACTTGGAGCCCACTCGGATCTCTCCCTGGTCTGCCAGGAGGGTCTTCTGGTTGGGGTCGAACACCAACGAGTAGAAGAAACAGTCCTGGATGGAGCACACAGAAACACATTACAGCTATTTTCAAATGTTCCAATCGACTGTTTGTATCTGTGAGAACTGATAATGAAGTCTAATGGCGCATTTCCACTGCAGGGCCTCGCACGGCTTAGTGCTGTATAGTTAGGCCTTGTTAGGACTGGCTCACTTCATGCTGCATTTCCATTACAGTTTAGTAGCTGGGGCAGTAACTATAGTAACGCAGTGTAGGCGGAGCCGTGACGTCATCTTCAATGAGAACCACAGAAAAACAGCGTTAGCCATTAGCCCTCAGAGCTCACAGCTCCTCATATCTGTTCAGAAACTAGACAAAAGTTAAACAAGTACAAACCACAGACTGTCTGTGTCATGGAGAATACAGTCGCTGGTTTATTTATGTCTGTAGGCCGTTGTTGTGAGTGTGGATGGTCGGAGCATAAACGTTAGCTTAGCCAATCTCCATTCAGGAAACACGCATTTTAAAAGGTTTTTCGCCTGCCGTCTGTCTGCAGACTTGTCAAAGCATTAACTCATGGTTTTTACTAACCGGTATCAGTATGTTGTTACTTCGGCATCATTTTGAAACGTGTATTACAATGAAATAACGGTCAAATATGTTCATTTTGTTGTAGTTGTAGCCCCCTTGCCAGCGATTCTCTCTGACCATTCAGCAGTCGAGAGTGTTTACGTCACTAGTTTAGCATATTTAGCCCGGTTGTTGGCCCGGTAAGAACCTTGATTTTGGAGGGCCAGAAAAAGGTGAAAAAGTAGCCCTGAGCCGGAACTACTCCTAATGGAAAAGCAAAAAAAAGCGGGCCGGGTTTGGCACGGCACGCTTAAACCGTGCGAGACCCTGCAGTGGAAAAGCGCCATTATAGAGCTCTACATTACTGTTTGAAAGTCTATGATTGTAAATCATTCGTAACAAATACTTTCAGGACTATATATGCAGATCAAATTAAAGTTACAGCTCTTATGAAGAAAGAACTACTTTTTCTGTCATGCATGCAATACCAATAACTAGATATAT